CTCAAATGGTGCACAAACACTCTCCGTGCAGTGGAGGCTACCGCATCGCCAGACGCGGTGGAAGAAGCACTGGAGTTTCTGGATGATGTGATGGAAGACGCAACGGATGTTTATGATGGGCAACTCTTGATTGATTTGGATATGGCTAACAATAAAGATATTGATGATGGGAAGACCGTGACGGGAATGATGGACAAGATGCAGGAACGCGAGCAACAACTGGAAGATGCTTTCAATGAGATTGAGATTCGGGACAATGCACTGGAGGCTCAGGAACGCGCCTTGGCACAACAACGTGCGGACAATGCGGCACTGCAAGCACAGCTCGCTGCCCTCCAGAGTCAGGCCAGCCATCCACCCACCATGATGAGTCCGCCTGCTCTCACTCCACCCCACAACAATCGCGTGTCCCCTGACCGTCAAGCAGTGAACCCACCGGTCAGATCTAGCAACAGAACCTTAGGCAAGTCATCCACTGGGAAGAGCTCTATTGTTCCCAACACAGTGACAAAACCAAAGAAGGCCATCAAGCAGGGCAAACCTAAACAACCAGCCAAGAAGGCCCGTACAAGTGCAGGTGTCCAATTTCAGGAACCGTCTTCTGCCCAACCCTCGACAGCCTCGGCTGTCCAAGTAGACACGTCTCACATGGAAGGGGAAAACACTACTGCCGCATCTCAAGATGAGAGCCAAACCTCCTCTCTTACTGCGTCTACTCCACAAGGTGGAGGGTCTCCATTCTTCTCTCCTCCTCCTGGGAAGGCGCACAGTGATGGCGCCAGTAAATCCTCTCGGTCCTCCCGCGGAGCTCCCCGCTCCACGGAGGGGCCATGAGAGGCCCACGATCGTCTGCAGCTAGGTCACGGCGTGCGGGCAGAAGATCCCGTATTAGTGGTCCGTCAAGTGGAATCTCTCACGCTTCACTGGACAAATATTTACGTTCTCTTCCAGCAGGGGATTGGTCTGGCGATGATCACCGTTGTCATTCTTCACTGGCTACTCGAGTCTGTTTCCAGAATGTCAACGGATTACCAGAAAATGGCAATGACTCCAAGCAACAACAGATCAACTCCTGGCTGAAGGAGGAACGAGTGGGAATTGCGTTGTTGGCAGAGACCAAGACGTTTTGGCCTTCTATCAATGAAGATAATAATAATAACTGAGACATTAATTGTTAATATGCTACTCTATGGGCATCCGATTGCCGGTGAAATATTCGGCTGTAAAGGTCAAGTACTGTGAAGCGGTGAGTCAACAACAAGTTTGAACCATGTGAGGCATCTGTATTTTTGAACAGAAGGTGCTCAAGTCTCCCAAAGGGGTAAAGACTTCTCCCGCGACGTGGCGGGGTGAATTCGGGGCATGTAAGGTCCCGCAAAAAGTTGGTCAGGGTCCAGACTGCGGCGTTGTGCTTTCATGGAGCGACGGAAATCTCTGTGTTCCTGACAAAGCAACTTAAGCCACTCTTCCTTGTCTACCAATGACTTGCGAAGGACTCGTCGACGACATGTTAGCATCGGTTGAATTTCCTTAGGCAAGTCATCAAGACCCATATCTAACTGGGAGTGAATCCCCTCATTGACAGTGCTGTGACATTCATGTAATTGAATGTTATCATCCAAATGTTGAACGGAGTTCCGTTGCTCCCACATGTAGAAGCCAATCGAGATCAGCTGTTGTGAGAGGCGGGACGCCCAAAGAGAGACGGATCGGCGACATCTTATCTTGTCATAATATTGTTGTTGGAGTGGAAGCCAAGACGAAGCGATGCGTCCCTCCAAAAGGCCTTGAGACCCAATCACCTGCTGAGCCAAGAAGGCCGGCCGAACCAAAGGAGAGATGGTCCTTGGAGGAAATGAAGGAGGTGTGCGAACGCCTTGAAGAAGCTGTAGGATCGCGAGTTTGATGGAAGGGCCCGTCAGTTGCAGGTCTAGCCACGCGGAGAAGGCTGCGGTGCGACGATCCCATTCAGCTGTTGCCGAAGCAGCGCGGCAGCGGGGAACATGCAGATGATCCTCGAAGTCGCCGCAGCGTGGGCAAGCTGCTGATGTCTCCAGACCCCATAGAACTTTAAATTTGCCTGTGCCGCACATGCCCACACAATGTTTAGTAGACCACCTTTGTAGTCCTGCAGGAAGAGATCGCATGGCGCGACCCAATGTGTCCCAGGCGATCTCAGACTCGGCTTCAGCGGAGATAGTACCTTTGTCCCTCCAGCGGGAGCGTAGGGCCGGAAGAGTCACACACTCTTGGATGAACTGAGGATCAAGGCAGGACTGTTTGGTGTCTGCCACGTACATTGCCGCAAGTTCAGTGAAAAAACGAGGGTTGGGGGCTATAAGATGATTAGCTGTCTCAAGTTCCTTACGGTACTCCACTGCCATACCATCCACCTCAAGGTTACGTTTCTCCCACCAAGAAAGTTCGTCAAAGAGATTGGACTTGTTGAGGTGTCCATAAACGTGCTGGGGCGCCCAGTCCACCGAGGACCGAAGGATCGCTTCCCGAATGGACGATACCAGGTCAAACTGGGCATCAGTTGGAGACAGTGGACGATCTTCGAAAGTCATCTCAATAGTAGAGAGGCCATCGCAAGCAATCCGCACCTTGGGCCCGATCAAAATGTTTGGGAACCATTGCTCAAGGAGCCAATCGACCGCCATTATACCGGCCAACAGACCAATGAGCTCGCTGCGGTATGGACTCTGGTCCTGGGGCAAACCGGGAGTCTGACACCGGATGATGATACGATGGCATCCTCCATGCTTCACCAGGATTTGAACCGCCGCGGTCCCCAACTCGTTCTTGAAGGATCCATCGCTGATCACACGCAGGCGACCGTGCAACAGAGCGTCAGCTAAGGTGGCTTCGTCACCGTGAACCTCGATCTCATCGGGGACCCACCCGTAATAGTCCGTGCAGAGCTCGGCAGCTGACTGCCACGCGTGAAGGATGGATGGGCTGGAGGAAGAAGACGGTTCAAAGGCCCGGCCAGTACCGGTAAGAAGAACCCTGTCAGATCCTGTGATGGAGTGAACCGTAGCACGAAGAACGTCAGCAGGAAGCGGTGCAGTCCACCATGGGCAGGAAGGAAGGGACGGCCCTGGTGCGTAGCGACGTGACGTGGTGTGGGAGCCCTCAGAGCAAAAGTGTTTCCAGGTTGCCCCATGGCAGTGGAAAAGGCCTGTGGTGGGGGACAGTAACCAATTCCAGTCCTCCAGACGGTCAGTCCATGGCCCCAAGGGCTGTTGTAGGGGGTAATGTGGCCCGTTGGAGGCAAGTAGGGCTCTGGACAAGGTGGTCTGCCACAGGTCCCAGTGTTGCTTTGTTGGGCGAACTGTCCTTGGCCATTGGTATGGCGAGCGGCAGCACTCATCCCTGAACCCATTCCACGCAGAGCGACGAATAAACCTGCCATCAGCAGTCACAATGTCAGACACTGTGCATACCTGGAGGAACATTCGACACCAATTAAGCCATAAAAGTTCCTCCTGTTTAACCTCCAAGTTGATGAAGAGATCCATCAGAAGAGAGTCGTCCGTACATCGAAGGGAGAGGGCTGGAGAGTCACAGGCGATATAGATGTCCAAACCTTCGAGCTCCTGCCAGACTCGTTTCAACCACGTGTCTGAGGCGAGGATCGCCGTGTTGGTGTAGACTTGTTGCAGGAGTCCAAAGGACGTCCCCGTTTCAAGTTGATGGGCTTGGATGTTGGCCTCCATATAGTCGCCAGTTTTGGTCCTGTTGGCCATATGTCGGAGCAACATCTCAAGATGCTTAAACACTTGACAACCAAACGGATGTGGAAGTCCAAGACCCTGATAGGACAGCGGAGCAAATACGACATCCCGAGGGAAACACCTGCCTTTGGAAGGCACACTTGAAGTACCGGAGACATAATGTCTGTCCATTGCTGGGCCTCCAGGGTTGTTAGCGCCATCGGATACTCCAATTTCTTCATGATGGTTGACTTGATGAGAGGGAGGACATCATATTTGTGAAGCAGGTTAGGCCGAAGCTGTTCTGCCCAATCCTTAGCTTTAGCAACCATCTGAGCCTTGTGAGCCTCAAGGTTTTCCA